AAACAGGTAGTTGGTAGATCCCCGCGGTCCTGCTGATGACAACTATTTCACGGCAATGCAACCGCTCTCTCATTGGTCAAACTTCTAATTACCAGTCTGTCATTGGTTGAACGGGTAATTGGTTCGACTCGTAATGCAGCCGCTCTCTCATTGGTCGAGATACTGATTTATTTATTTATTGAAAATGCAACAAGACATTACACTGACTCTCAAGGCAGCAAAGCTGATGTTAGAGAGTCAACACATAGGGACAAAACATGTAGGGCACATAATATCAACAGTGTGAAATTACAAAAAAAAAATGATCATAAGAACCTATCATTCCAATTAGCCGAGTAAATATATGTACACATCTAAAATAACACATTTGGAGGTCAGAGGTCGATAAAATAAGTCACAGTCAGACTACCTTATATGAGAAAAAAAAAAAGGATACTAAATAACAAGGTTAGAAAGGAACAGCTGGAAGTGCCTAGAAACGGTTTGTTGAAGTGATGTAAGTGTGGAAGGAGTGTGAGAGGCTTTCGTTTAATGTGATGTCATTGCCCGGGAACCCGTTGAGTAGAACGCTGGTGGAGAGGGGCCGTTCTCACGAGGCGGTACACAGCAGTGGCAAGGTCTTGTCGTGCCGCTGCGTGCAGTGGGCAGTGCAGGAGGAAATGTGTGACTGTCTCCGAGGTTGCACCACAGGCACATCCCCGGCCGGTAAGGTTAAACTTGGCCAGCGTGGAGTTGAGCTGGCACCAGCCGATGCGGAGTCTCGTGGCAAGTATGTTGCTGCTGAGATACTGATTGCCAGGCTGTCATTGGTTGGAAAGGTTAATTCGAATGTCATGATAGGTCGACGTCTATGGGGAATTCTTGCGTGCTAGTTGTATCCTCTCCAAGCAGAGGTTTGGTCTGTTTTAGGATGTCTTTCTTTTATTTCTTTTTTTCTATGTTTTACAGTCCCAGTCTCTATCATTTGTCGGCTTTTCCTCGGCTATGAAACAGAAAGAAAGGGAGACAAAAAAGAAAGTCTGGCAAAACGTCTAAAAGGCTTTAAAAAGTACAGCAGACCAGACCTCTGCTTGAAGAGTACTATATGTATAAAATAAGCACGCTTAATAGCTTAATAGAAAAGCACACTGAAGAGACGTGGGTCATATTTAAGAATCATGATCTTTATTTTATAAAAAAAAATGCATCACAACATCTCGGATATCTGTTGCCTTTGATATTAGGACTATGCAGTGTTCTTTGTGAGACTACTCGAACTCAAAAGTCAGATCAACGCCCTTCATTTTCTCCCGGTAGATTGCATCAAGAGTCTCGTTCTGTTCCGGTGATAGCCAGTTTTTCCAGTCGCCAACCTCTCCTGTAAAGACAATAGAAATCAACTTTTAGCAAAAAAATAATTATCATTTTAAAGTTCTTAAAAAAACTAAAATCTTAAAAAAATGTATATTGTGTTTGCACTTGATATACAGAATACACATTGGCTGAAAAATGATATATGTTTTCCTTTATGTCTTTCGTACGATTATATAGAAAACGCGCTTCTTAGCTTCGTAGAATTCCACGACATGCACTTCATTAGTTGTACAGAAAACGTTACACGTTTATGTAGTTTCTGCTATAGGTTTGATACACTGCTGCGTCAAGTACTTCAAAACGATGGGACATGGTCAGCCTTGAATATAGTTATTTGTTTGTTTGTTTGTTTGTTTGTTTGTTTGTTTGTTTGAACATCATTTATTCCTGAGAATCTCAAATCGGCCTGCAGGCCGCTTTTCGTTGATGAGGTCATGGAGGAAGACGTACACATACCTTTCCGCATGAATTCAAAATCTTTCGCTCCTCTCTGTTTGAAGATGGGGTTCTTGGTGACGTTGGTAGCAGGATTCTCCTTCATGGCGGAGAAGGTACAGTTCGCCACCACTTCGTCTATGCGCTGGTCTGACAGAGTCTTGCCCAGGAAGTTTGCGATCTTCACCACGTGGCCTCGCAGGTCCTTCAGAACGGGAAGGGAAATTATTTTTTTAAGTTAAAACGTTTCAAACTTTTGATCCAACACAAAGAAGTTCTCTCAAATATTATAGCGTTCGACCAGTCACTCTGGGCTCAGTAGACTGACCCAGTGCATGAGGCTTGCCACGTGGCTACGTTGAAGTGTGACGTCAACACTGGGTCAAAGGTAACTAGTAGACGATGTCGGCCCCCGTCGCGGGAAAGGGAAGTTGTTACTTGCGTGTAGTGAGGTTTTGGTTTCGGTGTGTCTGTACATGTGTGTTTATTTGTATTTCTGTAGTTATGAGAAGATATATTAAAGAAGTATATTGTCAAGGTAATTTGTTGTAACAACTTAAGCTTGCTAGACATCATTTTGGTTTACCTTGCTAGTGGACGAATTGTGTGTCCTTGAATACACCCAAACCGATACATTCTGTAGCCAACGGAGGTCATCTTTTTTCCATTTATCTACTTTCTATTCTTTCCTGTTGTTCCTGTAAGAGGTAAATGACCAGAATGCTTGAATAAATGAACATTGCTTACCCGCTTCATGTCTTCATACTTGATGAAAAGCAGGTTGTCGTCATCCTTGTGTCGCCAGTACTCCGGAACCACGTCCCACCAGAAACCGAAGTAAGCTGTTAACGGAATATTAGTGATGGTTAAAACGAGAACTTTTTTGCGTACTTAATAGCACACAAAACAAAACAAACATCTGCCGCATGCAAGGAACATCAAAATGCGCTGAACGTAAGCTGTAGTAGATAGATTGACACAATTTGTAATTGGCAAAAAGAGGAATTTTATAAAAAATATTTCACAAGTTTTGCGACTACTCTGAAGCTGGTGTGTTACGCCAAAGGGCGGTTATACCGGCTGTACAGATACAGAAGCTGGTGTGTTACGCCAAAGTGCGGTTATACCGGCTATACAGATACAGAAGCTGGTGTGTTACGCCGAAGGGCGGTTATACCGGCTATACAGATACAGAAGCTGGTGTGTTACGCCGAAGGGCGGTTATACCGGCTATACAGATACAGAAGCTGGTGTGTTACGCCGAAGGGCGGTTATACCGGCTATACAGATACAGAGGCTGGTGTGTTACACCGAAGGGCGGTTATACCGGCTATACAGATACAGATACTCTCAAGTCTCAACTGTGCAAATCCACCTCTGTGAGAAAGCAGCATGATTCAGCTAAACAACAATTTTATCGATTAATTAACTGATTAATCGATCAATCAGACAACAAATCGATCAGTTGATCAGCTAATCAATATTTAATCAATCCTATTGTGATTTTTCTGATTGGAAATACTATTCCAAAGTCTTACCTTGCTCAGGATTGATGAACTCTTGGAAGTTTTCGTCGAACGTTCCCGTCGGAAGGCCTTCGGCGGCAGCTCTCATGTTGTGGAAGGACACGATGACATCTTTCACATTCCTCGCGCAGTAGATGATCTGTAGAAGTACAGTGAGCTTAGATTGAAAACGGAAAGTGTGTTGGTGTGTGTGTGTTGGTGTGTGTGTGTTGGT